CTCTCTCTCTCTCTCTCTCCCTCCCTCCCTCCCTCCCTCCCTCCCTGTTTAACCCTTCTTCCACCCCTCCCCAGTTAAAATAACCCCATTTATTCCTGTTTCTCCCTTGATAATACCTATCTCCTATGGTCCCCATCTCTTGAATTCCTTCTTCCCCTTTACCTCCCATAGTTCCTTATGTAACCCTCTATCACCCCTTCCCATTTAAATACCCCCATTTTACCCTTAGTAATACTTGTCTCCTACTGTTCTTCTGTCTCAGGTTCCTTCTTTCCCTTTACCTCCCTGGTTCCTTTCCATTTTCCTGGCTCCTGCAGTTACATCAGGATATATACTCACATGTAAGGATTTGGAGCTAGGATCCACAAATGTAAAGAAAGATGAAATCATGAAATTTGCAGGTAAATAGATAGAATTAGAAACTGTTATACTAAGTGAAGTAACACAGATTCAGAGAGATCAATGATGTATGCTCTCTCTCATTTGTGGATCCTAACACCAATTTTTAAAAATATTTTATTTTTATTTTATATGTATGAGTATATTGCCTGCATGTATGTAAGTGTACCCATGTCATGCAATGCCCGTGGAGGTCAGAAGAGGGCACTGGATTCTCCTGGAACTGGAGTTACAGATAGATGGTTGTTAGCCAACATGTGGGTGCTAGGAACCTGGGTCCTCTACAAGAGCAGTCAGTGCTCTTAACTGCTGAGCCATCATTCCAACCCCAGAATAATTGTAATTTCTTTTTAAAAAATTTTGTCTCGAAAAGACCAAAAAAAAAAAAAAAGTTTTTTTTTTTTTTTTTTTTTTTTTTACATTTATTTCGTATGCATGTGTACACCATGGTGCGTGTGTGGAGGTCAGAGGATAACTTATGGGAGTTGGTTCTCTTCTTCCATCATGGGATTCTCTGGGATCAAACCCAAGTCATCAGACTCAGCAGCAAGCACCATTACCTCCTGAACCAGCACACTGGCCCTTAAATTCTGGCGTTTCACAGATCTCCTTCAGGTTGGGATCTATCCTTAGAGATCACTCCTCCTTTGGAAGTGTCTCTTTCGTCCCTTTTTTTTTTTTTTTGGTCTTTTTGAGACAGGGTCTCCCTGTAGCCCCAGCTGTCCTGGAACTCACTCTGTAGACCAGGCTGGCCTTGAACTCACAGAGATCCACCTGCCTCTGCCTCCCGAGTGCTGGGATTAAAGGTGTGCGCCACCACGCCCGGCTATCTTTTGTCCCTATTTTGATGTCAGTATATCTAGTGCGATGTTGATTTTGGAGAAGCTTTTTGTAGGAAAACAATGCTTTTCATTGAGAGCCTTCCAGGTGAGTGCAGGTGTTGGTTGAGATGGGGCCCCTTGTGGTAGAGTTTTCAGAGCTTCAAGGGTTCAGCCAGGAGCATTCACATGAAGCCTTTGCCACTGCCCCCTAAGCCAACATGGTATCTAGCAGCAGCAGTTGGGGTAGTTTGAGCTCTAGGGGTTGAGGGAGGGTCTAGTGAATTCGTCCTTTGGAGCAGAGCAGTCACTTTTAAACCAGCAGCTCCATCACTTGAATTTAAAGTTTGTAAATAGCCCCAGCTTCTGCTGTCAGGCCTGTGGGGTGTGCTGCTTTGGCAGGGGTTGCCTCCCACTTACCTTTATTATTATTTTTTTCTGCATGTGTAGATATGGATCAGAGGACAGATTGTGAGTCAGTTTGTCTACCATGTGGTTGTTGGCAGTCAAACTCGAGTGGTCAGACTTGGTGGCAAAGGACATTACCCTCAGCAACCCCTTCCCGCCTACCTTGTATTCGCAGCATTGGCTCCCACTTTCAGCTGGAGAGCAGGGGTTGGGCTGGGGATCGTCTTGTCCTTTTCTCTAGGCAGCCTTTCTGACGACTGCCCATACCATCGTATCTTTGCTAATTTTCAGGTTCTCCTCTCACTCTCCTTGAAATATTGTTTCTTCCTTTTCTGTACTGACTCTGCTGTGACAGGAGTTGAGCATAGGCACCTCTGTCTGGCCATCTTGACTCCCCAGCCCCCGTGTTGGCTTTTATGCTGTAGTTGTTTATGAGCTCTAGGACTATTTGAGTCCTTTTCACTTAGTTGGTCCAGAGACACAGCACAGTGAAGGAGGGGACAGTGAACTGGCTTGGCCTGAGGCCTGGTCTTTCTGCCTCTAGCTGCTGACACAGTCAACCTGAACCCTAGTTTAATCTGTTGTGAAGTTCTGAACCCCCATGACTTGGAAGGCTGCTTGTCAGAAATTCAAAAGCATAAGCATTTTTTTTATCATCACACAAAGACTGTACAAGTTGCTTTTCTTATTGCTGTGGCAAAACACCCGATAAAAGCAACTTAAGAAAGGGTTTGAGGGTGCAGTCCATCGTGTCAGGAAGAAATGGCAGCAGGAGAGTGAGGCAGCTTGGTCACATCGCATCTGCAGTCAGGAAGCAGAGAGAGATGAAGGCTGGTGCTCAGCTCCCTTTCTCCTTTTATTGAGTTGGGAATTCCAGCCCACGGGATGATGCCACCCACATTTAGAATGGGTCTTTCCACCTCTCCTAACCTAATCTAGAAAATCACTCATAGATAAGCTCAGAGGTTTGTTTTCTAGGTGATTCTAGATCCTATCAAGTTGACAATATTAATAGTCATAGCTACCCTCCCCAGGTGTTCAAGGCTTCCATGTCTGGGCTCTGCCTGCCTTGCCTAATTCCTCGGAGTGCCCTGCAACCTGCTTTGGAACCTGTCGTGGAACAGTCAGGACAATGGGAACTAGGAAGTAAATGCAAACCTGGCCCATTGGGATCAAGACCTTTTGTTCTTGCTCTCTAGAACGGGAAGGAGATGGTGAGGAAAAGGATGAGGTTATCTTTTCCTCACTAGGGTGTATATACAGGTAACAGAAACTCAGCCTTAGGCTAAGCCAGCCTGTATCCCTAGTGTCTAAGGTCCCCTGGGAGAAGAGATGCAGAGTCAGACCTCCAGGGAGTACAGTGAGTGTCAGAGCACAGAACTGTCCAGCAGAGGACATCCAGGTAAGGTAGTACACCAAAACCACCTTTCCTTGTTAAGGATAAGAGACAAGTCCGAGGGCTCTGCATGACTGAGATGTACACACAGGATCCTTAGATACTTTTATGAGACACCAGTCATGAGGGACTACAGCCCATCTTATTGATCTCCTCAATAAAGACCCTGTTTCCAACAAGGTCCCATTGAAGTCACTGAGGGTTAAGATATCAATGTAGCTTTTGAAGAACAGAGCAATTCAACATATAATCACAGGGTTAGCTATGGTGACTACTATTATTTGTCTAACTATCTTTGTCATCATCAAAGGGCCAAGAACATGTAAGAAATGATGTTATACAAGAGCAAGCAGCACAAAGGGCCTCCTTCAGTGGGCTTCCTTCATGAAGACTTGACTTGGTTGTTGGAACCGTGCCAGTACAGAGGTGCGAGAACCAAGCCTTTGACCTCTGGGCTTTTGCTTTGCTCATTTTAGATGGAGCAGATGAGGAGTGAGCTGCTTCAGGAGAGAGCCGCGAAGCAAGACTTAGAGTGTGACAAGATTTCCCTAGAGAGACAGGTGAGGACAGCTGGCCCCATGAGCTCCTGCATCCTGCATCCTGGTATGTAGACTCCTATGGGTATATAGTAGGGGCTTTCCCTACCTCAGGGTAAGTGTGTAGGGCATTCTGATGAGGCATGAGTTGAAGTTCATGCACATCTATAATGTCAGCCTTTCTTGGAGGCTCGCTGTATCTGGGGTTCAATGCTGGTGACTCAGGTATTTCACACAAATGGACAAAAAGTTCTAGTTTATTGGGAATCCTGCCCCACAGGACTAAGAATCTGTCCCCCAAGTAGGTGCAACATTTAAGGAGGACTCAGTAGTGAAAAGATAAGATTTTAACACAATATTACAAAATGATTGACTATAATCAATGGGAAGACATCAACATTGGTGAGCTAAATCCTAGTGTAAAGAGGATGAAAAGAATTATGTCATCAAACACAGAGTGGCTAAGAAGCGTTTTTCATATTATTTGTGCCAATCCGTTATCGAATATAACTGGTACCGGAAGCCGCTGCTTCTGCTCATCATGCCTTGCGGGTTTACGGAACACCTGAGAGTCTCAACATTTCATTCAGACTCATAAGGAGATATGTTAGAATCTCTTCCTTTGACCTGCTAAGACCTGAGTTCAAGGATGTTCTCTGGAACAATCTTTGAGATCCCCAGGTTCCTGGGCACTGACCAAATTCCTTCACTGCATCCTGTATTCTGTTCTTCCTGAAGAGCATGACAGACCTAGTCCCTCACAGACCCCCTTTCTGATTCTAGAACAAGGACTTAAAGAGCCGGATTATCCACCTGGAAGGTTCCTATAGGTCCAGTAAAGAGGGCCTGGTGGTGCAAATGGAGGCCAGGATTGCAGAGCTGGAGGACCGGCTGGAGAGCGAGGAGAGGTGAGCCCAGCCAGGGGCGGGGCAGAGGACTTGGTGGGCATTGGTCACTCCTTAGTGCTTGTGGGTTGGATGTCTCCTCGTCCTAATCAGACTCACAAAAGTGCAGCCAAGTTCAGCCTTGTGGCTCTTTTATTTTACAGATGAAAAAGGTGGGAGCCACCAAGGTCAGTGGTGGCTGAGGTAGCCTGGCTGAACTTAGGAGCGGATTTTAGCTTGTCATTGTGCTGGTTGCTTTCTCCGTCCTCTAAATAACGACTGGGCTGCCTCGTAAGCTCTTGAGCTTGAGCCAGATTAGAGGCCTCTGCCCTGGGGGGCAGGTATATGCAAGCAGAAGTTACTGGCCACTTACCAGAGATGGAGCAGTTCCCTCCACAGTGGGATCAGGGGCACTCCTTCCCAACACAATGATTTCTTTGAGCTAACTGTATGTATAATCCCAGAATCAGAGTGACCTTGTCCAGCTCAGTCCCCAGCCTTCCTAGATGGTATGTGTAAAGTGGGCATAAGTACACACTTTCAGCAAGACTCCTAAGTCAGGCTGGAGCAGCCTGGAGTAGCCCCTGACTGCTGATGTTCTGTGATTCTTTACCTTTCAAAGTTGAGCTCAACAGCGGAAGAACTCAGGACGCTTCTGAGTTCTGACACTGCAGCCTTAGATGAGCCGTCTTCTTCCTGGAGCCCTGTTTCTCCCTCTGGAGCATGAACAAGTCTTTCCTCCTGGATAGTTGTGTTTCTATGTCCAGGCACCCCTGGCTGGAGAGTTCCATTCCTTCCTCCCAGCCTGAGCTCCCACATGGCTGCATGAGATGGTGTGTTCCACTCTTTTTTCTCCCTCCTAGGGATCGGGCCAACCTTCAGCTCAACAATCGGCGGCTAGAACGGAAGGTGAAGGAGCTGGTGATGCAGGTGGACGATGAACACCTGTCACTGACTGACCAGAAGGACCAGGTGAGGGAACCTTTACAGAAGAGATTCTGTATCCCAGGCTGGTCCAGTGGAGTGAGTATATGCCTAATCTCCTGCTCCACTCACCTCCCAGGATGGAGCCCTTCTAGCTCAAGTATGGCATTTCAGCCAACGTTAACTCTTGAACTTGGCTTTCAGAATGAATGCTCTCTTTTTCTGGGAGGCAGGTTGCCCAGGGAAGGCAACTGGGTCCCTGGCGTCTGCTGTTCTGGCTTCCATGCTCAACCTGCCATCTTTTCTAACAGCTGAGCTTGCGCTTGAAAGCCATGAAGCGGCAGGTGGAGGAAGCTGAGGAGGAAATTGACAGGCTGGAGAGTTCTAAGAAGAAGCTGCAGAGGGAGCTGGAGGAACAGATAGGTGTGAACGAGCAGCTTCAGGGGCAGCTCAATTCCATGAAGAAAGGCTTAAGGTAGGTAAAGGTGGTGACCCATGGCAGCCAATAACCTCCTTGACATCTGCGAGGGACCTGATGGTTTCTATTACCTCTGCCTCAAGCTAATTCCCTATTGTTGCACTGTGGACTCATCTCATTCTTGAGATGAAAGTGGTTGTGTCTACTCAAGTCACTCCACATTTTCAATAAGGTCTCACACTAGCCACCCATACATCAGTGTTCAGTAGGACCCGAGGCCCTAAGCAGGTCAGGCTATGCCCACCACCATGGATGTGCAGCTCCCAGATCAGTGTTCTCTGTCTAACTGGAGTGAAGTTCTGATGTATGTCCTCGTAAGGATGAGGATATTCCAAGCTGCTCTGAGGAAAACTGAAGGATGGGGCTGGGGGTCCCTACCCCAGGGCCATTTAAGGATACTCAGGTGAGGGCTGAGACCACGTTCATGCTCACCCACAGCATCAGCCTTTCTTGGAGGCTGACTGTACCCACGACTCTATGCTGGTAGTCCAAGTAGTTCTCACAAACTGATGGAAGGCCCCAGCTCACTGAGAGTCCTACCCCACAGGACCGAGAAACTAGTCCCTAGGTCAGCAGAGGATGCAACATTTAAGGACTCGGTGGTCAAAAGATAATCCTTTGATATACTATTAAAAATGATTGTATGGGGATGTGGCTCAGATGGTGGAGTGCTTGCCTAGCATACAGGCGGCCCTGGGTACCACATAGACTAGGTGTGTTGACACATGCTTATGATCTCGGCACTTGGGAGACAGAGGCAGGAAGATCAAAAATTCTAGGCCCTCTTGGACTATAGAGTGAGCTTGATGCCAGCATGGGCCACACGAGACCCTGTGTCAATAGAAAATGAATATGATCAGGTTGATTAAGAAGCACCCTGACAAGCCACACTGATGTTTGGGCAAAAGGAGAAATTAGTTACACTGATCTTGGCTCCACTCTCTAAACACTAGTTTGTGGTGATGAGTGATAGGCAGTTTGCCATCAGGTGCAGGCAAATTCATGTGCTTATATGAATGCAGAGGGGTGGGGGCCAGGAGCCCAACGCCCTCCCTCCATCTCCACATCAGACACAGGCCCTAGCCAGGGCTAGGAAACATCCTACTTGTACTTCCACAGGCTTAAGAAGCTGCCGAGTAAAGTGCTGAATGACACGGATGATGATGACGACCTCAGCAGTGATGGGGGGAGCCTCTATGAAGCACCACTGAGCTATACTTTTCCCAAAGACAGCACCATCGCCAGCCAGATCTGAGTCCACTTCCAGGCCTGTCCAAGTGACCCATTGCTCCTGACCAGGCTCTGCAGTCACCCAGAGCAGGAAGCAGCAAAGGGAGTTTGCAAATGAAGTCAGACCACAGCTGCCACCTCACCTTCCTCCCCAGGGTCTCTACATGATTGAGTGGCTTGGATCTTATATAGGGAGCTATGTCAGTTTAAAGAGAGCAATAGGCACCACCACCTAACTGGAACATTTTGGAAAATACAACGTGATAAGATGAAGCCCTTGTCCTGCACCCCATATCTATCACCACCTTTCCCCACCCAGAGATAGGTCCCAAAGCCCCAGCTGTTCTGTGATCGCCACTGTGTAGGGAGGAAATGATGTATAGGCTGTACATATTTTAAACCAGACCTTCTTAGGGACTGCTGCTGTTCCATTCTGGAATGTTCCAGAGCCTTCAGAGTGTGGCTTCTTTGTAAAGTTCACACATCTATATTGAGTATTCTTCTTTTGAAATATGAAGTTGCCAGATCTTAAGTATTAAAAAGCAGAGGCAAAGCGGGGAGAGTGGACACCACTCTGGAAATTAGAATGGGATAAAGTAATTGTCGTGGTGACAATTAGCCCAGGGGATCACTGTTCAGGCTGTCTGGTAAAGGTCAGTTTTATCTTGGGCTGAATCTGTGGCCTTTGTTGCTTAGTTCCTCTAGGATTAGAATTCCTGAACCATACTAAGACCAGTTTCCACTCACCAGTTTCTTTTACACAGGTGGAATGGGGAGAGAGGTTTTTAACAAGTGCTATGTTTCTGGGAGGGCAAGGCTGTTGTCATGTCTCATTGGTCCATTCTTACATGGCAGGCCTCCAAGCTATGCTCTCTCAGGCCTGGAATGGGCTGAGTAGGGCTTAGGTTTGAGGATGGAGTGGGACGTGTGCAGTAAGTTCATGGGCTGAGGGAGAGGGGATAAGCAGGTATGGGACTGGTGTGAGAAGGAATTCAGATACATGCTTGAGAGCTAGAGGATGTGTGTGTGGGGCGGTTGAGCTGGAGCTCAGAGTGATGGTGAAGAAGGAAGGAATCAGGGTGCCTACAAACCAGAGGGCTCCCCCAACTTCCAGGCACGTGATGGCAGGAATAGGTGAGGTTCTGGAGCAGGGACAAGATGCCAAGGTGGAAGTACAGGGTCATGGCTTGGGAGGCTTCTGGGTATCCCTGTACTTCTTCCTGACCTACCTGTGTCACCTCATACTGTGATAGTCATCAGGGAAAGGACTTTGTGAGTTGGCTACATGTGTAGGGCAGAGATGGAGGGGGCTCAGCTGCTTCAGCAGTGTCCCTAAACTTCCTGATAGGGGGAATACAACGTGATAGGATGAAGACCTTGTCCTGCACCCCATATCTACCACCACCCTTCCTGTGAACCAGGTTGCCATGGGGTTCTGCTCATTGCAGGTCAGAGAGGTCATTCAGTTGGATTCAGAGTGATGGATTTTGAAGGATAAACATTGAATACCAGAGAACCAAGCCCTCCTCCTTCTCCCCTGAGTCACTGTCACCCTCACCACAGCTGGATTCTTGCCTCTGCCTACTTGCTGAATATAGAGAAATTTCTCGTTTTAGCCATTCCTTCACTTAATAAATATGTACTATGCACCAAAGTGTGTCTGGCACAGTCCTCAGCACGGGGAACACAGCATAGAATAGAAGTGGAAACTCTGTCCATGAGGCTGGGGATGAGGCTCAGTTGGTAGAGTGATTGCCTAGCATGCACGAAACCCTGGCTTCCATCTCCAATACTGCATAATCAGGCGTGGTGACCCACGCCTATAATCCCAACACTCAGGAGGTATTGGCGGGAGAATCAAGAGTTCAAGGTCATCCTTGGATATAGCATTGAGTTCCAAGCCAGCCTGGGATACATGAGACCCTGTCTCAAAACAACAGAACAACCTCTGTCCTCCTGTAGCTCAGGTAGGAGAGCAAGGGTGATAAACAACAGTCATACAAGTCAACATGCAGGCCAAGCCCCTCCATATCCAGCCTCAGAGCCCTGTGTCCTCCTTGGAACCTGATAAACCTGTGGTTGGTTGGCTCCCCAGAACATGTAGCAATTCTTTGACTCCTAGAATGTTCTTGTGCATCGCTATTTGCAATAGGCCTTCCAAATGCTTCAGCCTACTCACCCCAGAGATTTGGGGGAGAAAGGTCAAGTTTGGAAGGGAGAAGAAATTTATTTTGAAGAAATCAGTCACCCCTCATTCTAGTTGGTTCTTTCTGATAGCCACAAGGCTGGTTACAGGAAGAAAAAAATGTCTCCTGAAAAGAGAACAGAGACCACCACTGGAAACAGTTGTGCTCACCTGAAACAGGGCTGCTAGACAGGGTGAGGACTGAGCTCTCATATGCTGGAGTGGGGTTGGCAGTGGGGGATACGTGCAGTGCAGCTGGGTGGAGCGACATTGGACTGGGATTTAGAGATGTGTGCAAGTCGTGCTTATCTCCTTACCTGTGGCCTTGGTGGAGGGATGAGATGAGGGCTGGGGCCCTAGGTCCTTCTCAGTTTGAGCATTCCTTGATTTTATTATATATGTGTGGGTTTTGTTTTGTTTTTTTTTTTTTGGTTTATTGCTTTAAGAACGATCAGCTCAAGAGTATTTTCTTTAGCTTAAAAATATTTTATGTAAGAACATGCATGTGGCCAAATGCATTGCTGAGGAGACAATCACCATATGCCTTTTAGGAATTTTTTCTTGCTTTGGAGTGTCATTCCTCCATGACAGTTGACATGCTCTGTTGGGATTTTTCCTGGTATGGTTTGGTTGCTATGCATTGCCATGGGGACAAGGCATTCTTGTTCCAGCTACCTCCATGTAAGTGACTTCCTGGATAAAGCACGATTTCCTTTCAATAAACTGTTACCTGACAGGAATCTTGGCTCTTCTGTTGTTTTCTCTCTCTTGATTTCTGTTTGTGTCCCCAAGAAACATCTAGTCAGTGAAGTGCTTCCCAGGAAAGCATGAGGACCTGAGTTCGATCCCCAGGATCCACATAATAAAAAGCCAACCATGGTTGCACACTTGTAATCCTAGTATTGGGGAGAGAGAAACAACTGGATCCCTCAGGCTTGCCAGCCAGCCTATCTGAGTGGTGTTCCAACCCCAGGGCCAGTCTGAGACAGACGGGTATGGCGAGGTCAGCAGTGAACACTGAGGAAACAAATGGCTCTGGATGTTGGTACTGTTCTGAGACATCCGAATGATGCGTTCTAGAAAAACAGGAAGGGGAAGCGCTGTTCAAAGTTGATTGCCGAGACTCAGCTGGCACCCACCTCATTCCCTTTCCTAAACTCACTGGGTTCTCCTGCAATCAGATTTCATGAGCTCTCTTGGTCTCCTACAACAGGCCCTGTGGCCTCCATTTCACAGGGAGCCAGAGCAGATTATCTCCAGGAGAGAGCCACACAAATCACTGTCTCGGCTCCATCTTGAACCAGGACTCTGGAGCCTTGTCTCTGCCATGTTTCCTTTCTGGGTCCCTCAGTATTCCTGGTAGACTTTCCAGCACTGCCTGCACTCCATAGCTGCCTTTCATTAAGCCCTTTAAGTCACAGCAGCTGGTGCTGTTTCCTGCCTACCGCTCTGAACACCGCCACCAGCTACCTCCAGCTACCCTATAACTGTCGCCCTCTTTCAAAGTGGAAGGAGCAACCCAAATGTGAGATGTTTGAATTTTACCAGGTTCTCAAAGATTTGCATGAATCATACTTGCTCTTGTTAATTCAGGTATATTGAGGCATAATTTTATAATTCATATATAGAGACACCCTTCCCAGGGTCATCTAACATTCAGGCTAAATGTAGCCCTTTTTATCTGGCTCTTCTCTCAGCACTCACTGGGTGGGTCTCAGATTCTGACTGGCACATGTCCCTGAGCTGCCAGGAGGAATGTGCCTGGTGCAGAGGGAGAAAGTCCTCACATTGTCTGCATTCTACCCTTGACCTTGTGGGTATTAACAGGAAACCTGTCTCTCTTGGAAGTTGGTCATTAGAATTTTTTCTCTTCTAATTTTTCAAATGCTAAGGAAAAACAACTCAGTAGCAAGTTCCTATTACCCATTTAGAAGTTCCAAATCCAGAAATGCCACTTTCAAGAAAAGTCAACACACCTGGGCCTTGCTCTCAGACCAGCTAAACACACAGTGATAAAGTCACAGTTGACTTTCCTGTTTGTTGACCCAAGGTCTGGCCCAAGTCTCCATCCAGCAAGAAGAGGCTAGAGTTTGTGTGCCTTGCTGGGATTACTGAGACTGAAGAATGTGTTCTGAAGTAGTCACATAGCGACTACTGTGCAGAGGGGAGGGGTGGGGGCTTGTGGGGGTGGTGTTAGCTTCCAACAGGTGGACTCTGTCGCCTGGCCTCACCCCAGATGGTCAACAACCTCCTGGGAATGCCCAGAGTTTTTCTGGACAAAGGCAACAGTTTTAGAAGGATGGCAGAAACCTTGGCAAGGGAGGAATCTGAACCTTGGGAAAGTGACTCATTTGCTGCTGGTGGAACATAGAAGCAGCTGGTATAGAGCCAGCCAGCAGGGGGCCGGCGTCAGCACTGAACAGTCAGTCTGGGCCTCTGTGTACTTACAGTGAGATTACAGAGGTGGTGGGGATGGAAGTTGGAAAGATGGACTCTTTCACATCCTTTATGCCACAGCGAATTGCCTGTTTTTCCTTCTGCTTTGCTGATCTGTAGTCAGCACCTAGTTTTCCCTAGACTTATACAGTGGGCAGTGTGTACATGACTGATTTGCCATACACCACACCCAGTATGCTGACTCAACCCTTACAACCACCCATGGAGTGTTTCCTGATGGACACATGAGGCACCCCAAGCAGAGGAGGTTATTAACCTTGCCAAAGAGACAGGGCAGGATATGGACACGTGGGATAGAGCTGGGGTCTGGAGCTAGAGTTTACGCTCTGCTGATCCCACCAAGTTCAAATGCCTGGGAAGACAAAGGTCTGCAATTTCATTCCTGTAGTATGGCTCCTTTGGATTTCTAATCTGTGCCTTTCTAATCTGTCTAGACTAGTAAACTTCAATCACCCCTGCTCCTGTGGGTTTATGTCACTTGACTGTTTGCTGCCTGCCTTCCCCACCACTGGTTTTTAGCTCCTCTTCTAACTAGAGGTCTGGAGCTGTTTTCAGCTGTGATCTTCCCCATGTCCCTTGCTAACGTTAACCTGGCATCTTTGAGCCTGATCCAGATGCCATGGCTGCTTTGGGGGGGTCACCAAGCCTCTTACTACCACACTGGTGGTCCAAGTCCCTGATTTGTGGTGGTTCTTGAGGAACTTACCCACCCAACCCTCAGAACACTTTGTGATAAAAACCTCCTCAAGGTCATGGAGGAAGGTCAGGCATGCCCAAGGGAAATAGGATAGTTCCCACTTGTAAGACTCAGAGTTGTGAAGGCCAGAAGCCTTGCATCTCCTCCTAGGAGAATTGTACTTTCTGAGTAGTGGCAACCTATAACTAGAGCTTGATTCTCAGATGCTGAGTCCCAGTGACTTTGCTCCAACTTCAACAACATGGGTATTTAGGAAGCTTCAAGTATGAAGAAGACAAAAACAGGCATGGTAACAGCATTGCATCTGGTCTCTGAGAATTTCTAAGTAAGGACTTTTGGTTTATTTTGTTGAGGGATTTGTGTTCTCACCACCAAGAATTAACTGATCAACAGCTGCTAAGCTGGGCAAGATGGCACATGACTTTAATTCCAACACTTGGAAGGCTGAGACTTCCAAGCCAGGTAAAATTCAGATATGAAGCAGAAGACCTTCCATAGTAAGCAAAAAAGTAGGAATTAATCATCATTGGGATCATCCCACAAGACATGCTTAAAGGTGTCCTCCATCTGGAAACTTCCATTGTGAAGTAAAGACATGAAAGAATAAAACTGACTGGCAAAGTGGATACACAAATGAAGGGAAGGAAAGAATCCAACCACATCATTGCAGGAAACCTCCAGATCACAAAAATAGAGCAAAAAATTAAAATCTACAAAACAACCAGAGAAAAATAAAATTTCAGGTGCAAATACTTATCATTAATAACTTTCAAAGAAATGGATTAAAATTCCTGATTCAAAGATATAGAACAATTAAATGGATTTAGAAAACAAGACTCAACTACATACTGCCTGCAGGAAACTCACTTCACCACTAAAAACACGAATAAGCTGAAAGTGTAGGTTGGAAAAGACAGCACGTGTCAATGGAAATCCAAAGTGAACAGTAGCTATGCTTTTGTCAGATAATATAGGCTATGTGAATCACTGTAAAAGGAGACAAAGAAGGCCACTGTATAATGATAAAGGGATCCATTGGACAAGGAGGGGGAACCCATAAACACATATACACACAGTTCTGGAGAGCTAAATTATATACAGCAAACATTATCTGATCTAGAAAGAGAGTCTCCAGTACAATAATGGTTGGGGACTTCAACACCCCACTTTTATCAATGGACAGATCATCAAACACAAAAAAGGCATTGAGGTTAAACTACACAGTAGAACAAATGGATCTAACTGTCATTTACAAAGACTTCGTCCAACAGCTTCAGATTTAGGCTCTTTACCTCAGCAGATGGAATAGTCTAAGACAGATCGTATGTTAGGCTGCAAAACAACTCTCAATAATAATGAAAAAAAATCATACCATGTCTTATTTCTGTGCCTACAATGGAGCAAAAATAAAAATCAAGAAAAGGAATTTTAGAAATTTTATAAATACATAGAAAAATAAATAATATGCTCTTGAATTGCCATGGAGTCGATGAAGGAACAAAATTTAAAATTTTCTTGAAACAATGAAAATACAGTGTCACAAAATTTGGGGGATAAGTAAAGCATTACTAAGAGGGATGCTTGTAGCCATAGTGCTTAAATTAAGAAATAGAAATAACCTAATAATGCAACTCAAAGAACTATCAAAACAAGAGTAAAGTGAACCTTGAAATAGAAGGAAAGAAATAATAAAAAAAATCAGAGCATAAATAAAAGAGAAACGTTAAAAACAAAAACAAAAGGTCAGTGGAATGAAAATTGGTTTACTGAAAGAATAAACAAAATAACTCAGATGTGATTAAGAGACCACACCTAAGAATCCAAGGGACAGGAGTTGAGATAAATGCTAAAGGCATAGAGAATCTACTCGATGAAATTATAGATTTCCCGAACCTACAGAAATAGGCATTCAAAAGGAGAGACCCAGAAATAAATCCACACATCTGCAGTCATGGTGCTAGGCGGTCTACGTATACACATGCAGAAGAATGAAGCAAGACCCCAGCCTCACCACACACAAAAGAACTCCGAATTATCAGTGACCCGAACACAAGGCTCCGGACTCTATGATGGGGAGGCGTTATTTCCAGATACTGGGTCAGGCAAAGATTGGTGAGACCCCAGAAGTACAGAGAACTAACTACACGAAGCCGGACGCATGGCAGGGTGTTCAGAGTGCACAGCTTCCAAACGGGGCAGTAAACAGAGCAAAAAGAAAGGCGGGCTCCGGGATTGGAGACGTATTCACAACTGCTCATCTGAAAATGGCTTAGTATCCAGAATTTTTGAAGAATCTAACAACCCAACAGCAAAACGCCAGAGTGTTACTAAAGAGTGAAAACGATCTGAACAAACGCTTTGCGTGAGTGGCTACTAATCTGTGAGTTTTTTGTTTGTGAGTTCATTACAATACAGTGATTATTTCTGGGGAAATATAAAAGCAGGCGAAACTGCTTGATGCTGCTAATCATCCAGGAGATGAAAGCAAAACCACACCACGGTATTACCTCGCCCCAGTCAGAATGGCCATTATTTAAAAAGACCAGGGCTAGGGGCTTGGAGACATGGCTCAGCGGTTAAGAACAC